AGGCTTCTGAAGCTGTTATACAGTCATCTTCTCAATCACCCTCTGCCCAAAGACAAGGTTAGATACTGGATGAAAATTGTCCAGGATGCTGGGGTTCAGTGATGGCTCCTTGAGAAGAAGGTGAACCTAGATCACTTAAGAGATAAAAGAACAACCTTTTCATTCAAAGAATTAATCCATCACTAGAACCCATCACATGACATCATCACTCACCCCCAGGCCGAAAGGAGCATGGATTTAAAGAGCAGCTAGCTTAACTCAGTCCTAAAGATCCTATCCATTTCCTCAGGTCCAACAACGGTCACAGATAATGGGCAAGACTCTACCACATGCATTCCCTTTGGACCTCATCACAGCCAGTGTCTAATTGTGAACAAATTCAAGTGATTTTTCCAACAAATGATGGCAAATTCCTCTACATGTCCTGCAAAAGATTGCCCTAGACGTCTTTAGACAGATTCATGTCACCCAAAACAAAGCTGCAGGGCAGCAATTTACAAATGCAATAAAGGCAGGGAACTATGTTGCTTCATTACCCTTATCGTTAGAAGATAGTCCTTAATAGCAGCACTAATCTGCATTCTATCATGTTCATCCTTAGCTGAGCACCAGAAACACTCCAGATATATCATCTCTCATTTCATCTCCCTCAATTAGTCTATAAACTATGGAGAGAGGTTAGAGGTTGCATGGGTGCATGGGTTCAGTCCAATCCAATACCTTAGCAAACCCATTATTTCAGGCATCAGCCAAGGCTTTGGATGGACTGTGCAACAATTCTCTGTGAAACATGCCTAGCTTCATCAGTACTCGGGGGAAGACTGATCTAACAGGTTGAGCATCCTTGCAGTTCAGGTGGCACTAGAGAATCCCATGGAAATCAGGATGTGAGCTGATCATGACACCCCAATTTCAGATCATATACTCATTGTTCTGGCAGGAACACCAAATCTGGAGTGTGACTACTGTTCCATATCAGGTTCTGGATGACGTGAGATAGGCCCAGAGCTGCCATGTTGACCATTAACTCTCAATCCAATTTAGACCTCATTCCTAGATTGAAATGTCCAAGAACTCTACTGGTGGCCCTGAAATAGCATCAGGGAGCTTGGTCAGGGAGGTTGTTATGCAGCAGTGAGGCTAGTACAACAGCAACAGTCCTAACTGATCCTTAAAACCAATTTTTAGACAAATGACAATTGACCCTACCTTTCCAGAGTGCTGGCTGATGCTACACCCAAACATCACTAGGCATATTTCTTTTTAATTTTAATTTTCATTTGATCCAATTCCAAACAAAAGCTAAATACAAATTTTAAACAGATAAGCACTAGATTTACCCAAAGGGAGTTGGCTTATACAGATTTACTTGAGTAAAATTATTCAACCCATAAACAAAGTGTTCTTTGCCAAAACTGTACAGTAGTCTTTCTTATGTTCATTGCACAATCTTAAACAAAATATGTTCTGTCAAAACCAACTTTGACACTCCAAACAATATTTTACAATTAAGTCCACAAATGCTTTAGATCTTATTCCCCACCCCCACCCCCAAAAGAACTTCAGAGGGTTTTCCATGTCAGAAATGTTTTGGAAACCAGTATTTCCTATTCAGTTCACCAACCATTTTACAAGTCAGCTCTCAGGAAAGAGTTTTTCCATCACTCGGCATATTCTGAAAAAGCTGTCCCTCTTCTGGACTGAGCTAGATTTCAATAAGACATGTCATGTCAGTCCTTTCATCAGTGATTAAATCACTGATGAGGAAGACTTTATTGCAGACCAACAGTTTTTTTTAAAAAAAACCCATCTCATGATCATTAACAGTAAACATTTCATAAACCTGAAGAATTCTTCGGCTAAGAGAAAAGTTTCCTGTAATTGGTACGATTGAAATCTCCAGATAGCATAAAATGGTTTTATTAATCCCATGACATTAAAAGAGGTGAACTGTATTAAATCCAGATTCTCAAGTTTAGATGTTTTATTCATCTGTCTAATAGAGGTTCACATGATAATATTCTTTAATAGACTTTAAGGCTAAGTACAGAGACAAGCTGTGTTTGTCTATGATGGTAATTGAGTGAGGAATACATGGATTATGAACTATCCCAAATCTACATAGATGCATCCTTATCAAAATTACTGTCTCCTTTCATGGTTTAATATAATTTCTGTAAGGCAGGTTTATGCTTGTGCTAATATAAATGCACAGTTATTAGATATATTAATTTGAAAACTTTTGGATCATACCCAAAAGCTGAATAATCACATTAATCTTTTTTGTAATTTATATCTTCTCTCACTCAATATACTACATCTTTATTTTTAAAAGAGATCGATCAGTGCTCTCACTTGACTTGCTGAGATTATATCACAATTACGGTACATTATGGATTAATTACAAGGTACACCAATGACCAAAAGGCTCAACAGGAAAGGGGACTACATGATGTATAACATATTGTTGAAACTATAAATCACACTAACTCTAGTTGATGTGACCAATGAGAATGGTTGCTCAGGGTTATCGTTCAGCAAGAACTGGAGAGCAATAGAATCCTTACCCACAGATCCTCAAAATGAAGTCAATTAATACCTTCCAAAGAATGTTGTGAACTTTCCCAAGACATTTGCATATCCACTGGTAAAGCAGAAGGCTAAATAGATGTTTTGGTAAGAGGGCTCTAATTGCATTCACAACTTTAGGGCTGGGAAGTAGACGAGTATGAACTATGACAATACTGTGTGATCTCTGCTTCATAGCAGTATCAGGGACAGTTGCACATGTAGCTATGCTGCTCCATATCCAACCTTTCCTACAGAATTCAGTGTGATTTTTTTAAAAAAATCCTCCCATTCCTCTCCCCCGCCTCCACCAGCAGTTTGATAAAGGTTCAGGAGGGAGATCATCCCAAGTAATCCAGCAGCTTCCATGGTTGGGGGAAGACATGACCTTGGCTTTCCTCATCTTAAATCAACAGCTAAATAAAAAAAAACTATCTTGATATAATTCTGTAATGCTATAAATTATATGAACTTCATGACATACAATTTCAAGCTCAAGAAGAACAAGACAGATAAAGGATAAAGATCAATTGGAAAAGAACAGTTGATGGACCTCCAGATTATGTATGTATGTATGTATGTATGTATGTATGTATGTATGTATGTATGTATGTATGTATTTATTATTTATTTATTTATTATTTATTTATTTATTTATTTATTTATTTATTTATTTATTGTTTGATTTATATGCCACCCTTCTCCGAGACTCAGGGTGGCTTACAATGCGTTAAGCAATTTAAACTCTAATATTAGTGTCTATTCCTGACAATAATGAAATACGGCTATGTAATTCTTCCAAGAATCTCTTGCTTTCAAATTCTAGTTAATTCACTGATTTCTGTAAGGCTTCTTCAGCTCCCAACGATCTCTAGGAGGTGACAGCATCCTGAATAAAAGGATTGTGAGATTACTAGTTCAGTCAGTAGTGTGAGCTAATGCTTTGTTTGTTCTTTAATCACAATTATTCTGCCTTTGGGAATTTAAATCTTATTCTGCTGTCTAAGAACTGGAAACAATGAAGATTCTGGGTGGAAAAATGGCAAACTGGTGTATCTCCAAAGAGCAGGGATGATGCTAAGGTGTAGAACCATGACTGGGCAGGAAGCCTGGTTCGATGGTGCTTCTCCAAATAAGGAAAACCTAAAGAGGTTGCCCATATATGTTTTAGAAGGCAGCTTCTCATGAGAAAATTTGAAGAACCCTGCAAGCAACTCTTGAATAAGAGCCCTAGAAGCTGAAGCAGAAATCATGTTTGCAGCCTAAGTAGAGCCTGTAATGGACATTCAGTCTTACCTAACTTTTCTTCCTAAAATGTATTCTAATTGTTTAAAAGCCACAGAAATCTTTGGAGCAGCAGAATAATTAGACCTTCTGGTGAGTGATCCTACAGCAGGGGCCGAGAAATAGAAAGAAATAAGTACAATGATTTAAAATAACCTGCAGCAAAAAAAACTTTCTAAGAATTAAAAAACACAAAAATTCAAAATGGATAAAAAGTTTGGTTGAATTTGGATTTTGCTTATTTTGAAGTATTTTTGAATAAACAAACAAATATATATATATACCGGCAAATAAATATTATAGAGCTTCATGGGAAAAAGGATTGTTTGTATTCTTTAAGAGAAATGATTGATTTTTATAAATGAAGAATCAAGGGATTGTCTTTAAAGTTCATAGATTGTTGAAGGGATCAAATTGGATTAATGATTTAAGAATTTAGACAAAGAAAAAGAAATAAAAAGAGGAGACTTTTCCCTTTTGTTTTTGCTTTCTCTTGTTTGGACAAATAAAAGAGATAGAGAGATGGCTATTACTAAAAAAGCAACAATCGCTAAAACAACAAACACTAGGAAAATATATTATACTAGGGATATTACAAAATATGTTTGTGCAATGGAGATGGAAATAACAACCAGAGAAATGAATGAAGATGTCGATATGGCATTAACAAAATTAAGAGTGGAAAAAGAGGTTTCCGAAACTGAAAGCAATTTTGATCCAACTTGGGAAAAAAAGTATTAAGGACAGAGCTGTTTTGATAGAGTTTACGGAATGAAAGCCAACTGAGTATAGTGGTTAAAGAATTGGCCTAAACCAGGAAGCTGTTTAGTCCTGCATTAGGTATGAAAAACTAGATGACTGTGGGCCAGTCATTATCTTTCAGCCCACCCCACCTCGCAGGGCTATTGTTGTGGAAAAAATAGGAATAAGTATTGTGTATGTTTGCCACCTTCAGTTACTTATAAAATAATAAAGAACGGATAACTTCTAATAAATAAGTTGGAGGTTGTAAGAGTACTAAGGTGTGAGGGAAAAACTGAGATAGCTCACACAATTTGTATTTTTGATTCAAAGTAATACAGATATCATTTCTCCAAAGATCCATTTTTATTTGCCTAAAATCTCATACCTAATGATATATTATTATCTGATTAGGGCCAAGCATATTTTCCATACTAAGGAAGAGCTTAGGGTGTGACAAGAAAATCACCAGGTAAGAAATTCCAAAGCAAACTGTTTAAATTTGCATTGACAAAGGTGTGAAATAATTTAGCCACACAATGGCATAATTAAAACAGCCTGGTTAATTGCTTCTGCCTCTGGCATGAAAGAGTTAATTCATAGGTACTGTCAAGACAGGCATTTTGCTGAAATATTAAGTGATTTCATAACCACATAGCAGGTCTGGTTTGGCCAGTTACTTTTTTCAAAAAGACACAGTGTAAAAAAACAAAGAATGTAGACATCAAGAACATACTGAGACTTTCATTTAACATTAATTCATGTAATCCAAAACGTCAATTGGTCACATTGACCAAGAAAAACACAGTCATAAATGTCTGATATTGCTTTTGGTAAAGCCATAAACATGACGAAATACTGGCTCCATTATGATCTGTTAGTTCTCAAAACAGAACAGTCAGATTGGACCCACATAAATTCATTTCTCAGATAGGACTGATACAGAAGGCTGAGTCATAATAACAATGTGCTTTATCTTCAGAAAACATGACTCAGGATGCTAAATGAAATATTTACTTCTAAATGACGATTAAACTGCTCCATTTCTTGGAATGTGTAATATAACAATACATTAAAACAGTCTTCTTCCATTTGTATATACTACATTAACAGCAGCTATTATCTGCAGGCTCAAAATCTCTCTCTAATTTTAAAGTTGTGGGCAGACACAAAAAAGGGACTTCCTCAACTGAAGAGCCTCTTTATCCTAATTCAGGAGAGGGAGTAAAAGAGGGTAATAGTAATAGTAGTAAAAGAGGGCTCCCAAATTTTATACATAAATCAGAGCAAAAGAAGCACATTCTTTTAATTCATCCTACCTGCTTTCTTACAAACAAGTTTCATAAATATAATTTTTGAAACCACTAAAATGATAAAAGAAAATTCTAAAGCCAGCATTTAAATAAAGAGCAAAATTAGTGGCAACTGATTAAAAACCCATGATTAATTGAAAAGAAAGCTTAGAGAACTATAACCTCATTTCTCCTCAAAGTTTATTCACTCTGACAGGCACCACTACCAAGAATTCCCTGCAAGATCAGCAGCCTGCTGTGTTATGATCATAGGACATCTTCACCACCACATAAATAGCAGGTAGGCCTATGAAGAAGCAGGTAGTTTCTGATAAAATCTAAGCTCCTGGCTGTTTATAAGCCAACTACAACATCTTGAAAACTAGCCAAAGCTTCAAAGCTTTCAATAACTTAATTGACAGTCAGTGAAGATTTCAGGTTAGTAATTTTAGGGGCACAATGATTCCACAGAGTAACCAGTCATAGCTGTCTTTGCTAGTTGCACTTTCTAAGCTATTCTAAAAGGCAGCCCGATACACAGGACATTACAAGAATCTAATGCTAAAGATACTAATGTACAATTTCTCTGGTAAGGTTTTCCTTGCCTTGGAATGTTGTCATTGTTGCATTTTTATGCATCTAATATATCAATAATATGAGAGAGGGAGCAAACAAAGATCTGAATTGAAAGTTCTGTAGCACCAGCATTAAAATAGGCCTAACCATTCCTTATCTCTATCCTGAAGTTCAGGAAGATTATTGTCACTGTGTAGAAGGAGAGAAAGTTCAAAATATTATAGACTTCATTATCTGGTTCCTGTGTGTTTGGAGCATGTGTTTGGAAATTAGCTATGACTCTCAAGTAACATGACATGGTAAGCAACAGGTGCATCTATGTGAAGGTTTAAAGATTTAAGATTCAGGTGCAGAATGACCTATGTATATACATATACATGCTTATCCATTGTGCTATTCTTTTTCAGGATAAACAATATTGTATCTAGAGCACAGACCAGTTGTAAGAAATTAAAAACATGAGCTAAGAAAAAGAAATGGAAATATAGTGAAAAATAATCTATATCAACAGTATTCAATACACTTCTCTGTCCTTGGCAGGTGTGCTTCTATCACAATGTTGGCAAACCTTTTCAGCACCGAGTGCCAAAACAGGAGCACATGCATGCGTGGGAGCGCTGAAAACCGGTTTCCGGTTTCCAGCATGCACATGCATGCCAGTCATCTGGTCTTTCAGTTTCTGCTGTGCTTGCATGCACAAAGAACAGCTGCTCTTCCGTTTCTGGTTTCTGCACTCCACGCACGTGAAGACCAGCTGGAGCACCGGAACTCGGAAGAGCAACATGTGACAACTGGCATGCCCAGCCACTGGCCACTTCCTGCACGCGTGCCATAGGTTCGCCATCACGTTTTTATCACATTCGTTGAATGTGCCTTTTATTCTTTAAATTATTCATTAATGTCTTCCTGAGCATATCCTCTACTACTGTATTTTCAATCTTCCCATTCCTCTTAATCCATTCATTCTTCATATATATATCTATAACCTGATCCTCACTAATTCTTTCTAGGAGGCCAAACGTCACTCTATTTCTTTCATATTGATGGTTGACTTACATATCCAATCCATATTAATTCACAACCATTCTTGACCTCTCTTACATCTTAAGTAAATCATTCCCACTGTATTCAATTTATTTTTATATTTATCCTTATTAGCCTACTTACCTTCATAAAGAGAATAAACAGAAACACCAAAACATTTTTATTCTTTTGATATTCATTATTTATAACAGATTTCCTACAATGATTTGCATATCTTAAAATGTCTTCATTTACCCATATTTAGTTAATATGTTATCTATGAGCACAAATTTATCTATTCACTCCATTTTTTTCACTATTTATATATAACATGTAACTGATCATTCCATTTTTCCATGTCAAGCATAACTACCTTCAACTTTGATGCACTAATTTTCAGTTTCGTGTTACTTATTTCATCACACACTTTCACTACAAACCATTCAGGTGCACAATTAAAACCACAGTACATTCTCATCTCCAACCCAAAGCCTTCCAGCATCATCACAAGCATTCCTTATTTATTTCCCATGAATTCAATAAACAATCAAAAGAACATTATGTATTCTTTTAATACGCCCTGCTTATAATTAAATGATTTGCTAACTATTCCATTTACTCACATACATTTTTTTTTTGTTTCCATCATTTCTGTTCTTACTCCAATCAGTTCCCAATGACCCACAAAGCCCTACATGGCATGGCATCAGATTATTTGAATAACTGCCTTTCCCCAGATACACCTACCCATCCCCTCAGGTCCAGCAGAAAGGGGTGTTTGGCAGGTTCCATCCAATAGAGAATATCACCTGGCAGGACCCAGGAGCAGAGCCATTTCTGCCACTGCATCTACCCTATGGCCCCAATCTTGATGGCCTTCTGGAATGGCCTGAAAACATGGCTGTGGGATCAGATAGTTGTATAAAATGATTGTGCTGCTCCTGAATCAACCGTGTTCTTCCATTGACTCTATTGTATGTTTTTAAAATCATTTTGTTTTAATATTTTTAATGCTTTTATAGTTTTTATCTCTTAGGGTTTTTTGTACTATTTATGTTTTAACTTTGTAAACCATCCAGACTTCAGACAGAGATAACAAAAAAGATTTTTGCCTTGTCCACTTAATAACTTCACTTACCAAATCTGGAACTGGACTGGGACTAGATTACTTAAGCCTCCAATGACAAAGATGTGATAGTATGTGCAAATGAGTTTGGGAGACAGATGGAAGCATTGCAGATTAGACAACAGTCAGACAATGGCACCTGAGCTCACAAAAGGAATGTAGGAATGGCAAATGTCGCAGAAGGGACCAGGGTGGGCTGGTGGTGGTTTAACAACCAATTCGGCCAGCATCAAAAATGTGAGCACATACCCGCACCCGCTTGCTTCGCTCACGAGGGCGCCCTTCCACACATGCGCACAGCTTCAAAAACATGGTTCTATAGGTCGGGATAGTGCCGGGGCAGGTGGGTGCGGATGGGTGGGGGTGCCACCCACTGGTTGCAACTACCGGTTCACCCAAACCGGTGCAAACCGGCAGCAGCCCACCTCTGGAAGGGACCCTCTCTAACTTCTTGGATTGTAAAGATGATAGGGGACAGATGTATTTTCAAGCTTGGAAGATTCTGTTAATATAACCTTACATTTAGAATTTTATGCTTCTTGTCTGGCCAACTTTGCAAGGCTAACAAACCTATAAGTATATTCAGGATATGTACCTTGTTTATAATGAAACTATGTTCCAATCAATAATAAGAAACATCAACTTCCAAAAATTCTGGGGTTTTTATATTGTTGGTAAGAACTTGTCTCAACAGACTTCATTTCAGCCTATTTCTGCTTCTTGGCATTCACTTCAGCCCTGTACATCCATATGTGACTGAGATTTAAGAAATGTATTTAAAAAAGTATTGATGATACTTCATTTTATATTATTTTATGTCCATTTCTAATAGCTTCAAATTAATGGAGATAAAATAGCACCTTTCTATAATCAACAGAATAAATGCCAATGGGACAAAATGTTAGAGCCATTATCTCAAATCACCCCTGGAGGTAGAAGTAGGAGCATTGATGTCTTCTATTTCAGCCTTTAAAAACTGAGAGGAGAAGAAGAAGCAGAATAGTACCTCCTTTGACTCTTCCGTAAGAAAGATCATTCATGAAGTCAACTAAGATTGTAGCCTGAATAAAATAAATCAAATTCACCAGTGTCTTCCATACACTACTCTTTTTTGTTTGTTTGTTTGCTTTTAGTAACTACCAACCTTTATGTCAGCATTCCAGAAAAACGCCCAACTTAGGCTGGATGTTTCCAATGCTGCCACTTTAAAGCATGTTTCTCCAAAGGGAGTGATCTTCAAAAAAAATTCTGAGCGATAAAGTTTTCCAGAAGAGCTATACATAGCAGTGGGGACCGCTCCATCTGAAGAAGACAATTATCCAATCCCTGGATCAATCAGTCAATCCTCACTTCCCCCCCTTAGCCTTTATAAATCATGATATAAAATTGTCAAGAAGGCATATATTTAGCAGCACTCTCCTGGCATCATTTTCCAGCTGAATGACGATAAGATCATAGCTTTAAGATGTAGTAGACATAATAAAGTAAACTTTCTTTGCTACTTTCACCCCATCAATTAGGCTACCAGTATGCAATAGACACAAATATACACTGTAATACAGGTAGTCACCCTTGTGGCAAATTCTACCTCAATATACTCTTCTTACTATATACATATCTTCTGGGTCATTAGGAATATTTGCTGCTACAAAAAATGATAAATTCCTTTGTACTAGGTTAAAGATTAAAAAATGCTCCCAATACTATCGCTTCCTGTACATCATAATGGAAGCTTAGCTGAGATAAACAATGGGGCACAGAGGACAGAGCAACCAAGAGTGCATCAAGCTTGAAGGTGATCCTTGACATCTGTTCAGTTCAGGCATACTGCAGCCAAGGCGGGGAACATACAAAGCCTTTCATTAAGGCTATTGGTTCACTATTGTCTTTTTCAGTTAAGAGTTGCATTCCATTACAGGAAATAAGGGTCTTATGATCTGCTCTGGCTGGAAGAGGTGCTCCAGAATAATATGAGAGATGTATTTATTTGACTACAGAAATTTAGGGCAGAATATTTAGCTCTGAGGGTCATTTACTAATCTACTAGTACAGTAAAGGTGTAGTGAAACAAGGTTGCCTCTAATATTGTACTTGAACCAGGCTGTTACTGAAATGAAAGCAATAGCAATCTTTTTTTACATATTAATATAAGATGTTCTGCTTTAGCTGCCTAATGTGCTGAATTATTTTGTAAATATGTTTTTAAATATTCTGTTTTCAGTCCCTTACCTCCTTATCTTCCCCACTCTTGGGACCAAAGGATCTTTTCCTTGACATTTTAAAGCATTAAACAGCTCCAGGGCTGAAGGAAACTTTTTTTCCCCTGTAATCTTTGAAAAGTTTAGTTGTCAAGGAGACACAGTTTGATGATCAAGTGTGAAGACCTAGGCACAGAAACTAAAAAAATATAAACTGAGAAAAGCAGGATCACATCAACCAGTTGTACCTGGAGGCAGGCCTGTAATATTCCAGAACATCCAGCTTCTTTGGCATATCTTTTGCTACTCAATTATATAGCCACTCATTGAAAAGTGCCATCTTTTGAGAGAAGCATCATTAAAGCACCTTGCTCTGATGATATATTACTCTAGTAAATTATCAGTTTGAGGTCCGCTTTGGAAATGTCACTCACAAGATTGCTGCTTTCCTGGGAAGGTAGGGTCCAAGTGTAGATTAGATGTAATTATAGAATAAATGACAGCCAACAAGAAACACACTGAAGTTGTTCTCCTCACTCCAGGCAAAAAAAAGTGGGGGGATAATTTAATGAATTTCTTTTAGATATTATAGTTGATGCCAGGGTGGAGAAATGGAACTCATAAAATTAAAAAAAAAAAAGAGGTAAGAGACATCTGTTTGGGTGGTTAGAACTTGTTTTAAACTCATAATCCACCTGCAAGTCTGCATAAATCATTTTCATGGACTGTAAAACAGATAAAACTATCCTATTGTATAAAAAATGTTCATGAAATTTGTTCCATAGCACTCATGATTCCTTGAAAATTCGGTGCTGGTTGGGAACAGATGCTTCCTTTGTTGTCAACTGAGAAATAGACTTGAGGGCAGATTAATTTATCAGACCACTACCTGTAATTCCAGTCATTATCATTAGAAGTCACAACCTTCATGTGCCTAGTTTGTTGAATTGCTTTATGAAAAGGAAAATTGAACAATTATAATGCACTGATATCTTCTCAACAGCTATTTTCTTTTTCAAGAATGTTAAAGGTAAAGGTTCCCCTCTCACATATGTGCTAGTCGTTCCCGACTCTAGGGGGCAGTGCTCGTCTCCATTTCAAAGCCGAAGAGCCAGTGCCATCCGAAGATGCCTCCATGGTCATGTGGCCAGCATGACTAAATGCCAAAGGCACACGGAATGCTGTTATCTTCCACCAAAGGTGGTCCCTATTTTCTACTTGCATATTTTTTACGTGATTTCGAACTTCTAGGTTGGCAGAAGCTGGGACAAAGTAATGGAAGCTCATCCTGTTACGCAGCATTAGGGATTTGAATCGCTGAACTGCCGACCTTTCAATCAACAAGCTCAGCATCTTAGCCACTGAGCCAAGAATGTTAAGATAGTGTTAAAAACAAAGACACACATATACACACACACACATAAGTTTGGAAATCATAATTCAGTGCATTTTGTTCTCTTCCACAAAACGTAGCTTTTTTCTTCCTTTATCTGTCTACCATTCATTCTCTTCTTATTAGCCATTACATCTTTTCCTTTATCTTCTGTGTTTTAAAGAGCATTGGGCATCCTTAGTTCCCAAAAGCGTCTTTAAAAATTCTTTGTGGCTATCAGTAAAAACAAGACTTCTATAAATGTATTTGGGATTGGGTTTCATGATATCTTGCCCATGGCCCTATTAATCTGGCAGCTTTACTGCTTCTGTACCTTTCTGTTCACGCAGGATTTCAGACAAACAGTTAATATAACTCTCATTACTCTATATGCTTGCATTCCATTTTATTTTATAGTTGCTACAATATATAATCTTACCTGTCAACCAAGGGGGAAAGGCTAGTTTAAGTGATTAGTAATTGGTTTACTTAGCTGCAACAAATATTTCTTACTAACAGTAGAGCCATCAGTCCACAAGTCTGTCTTTTAAGAAAGAAAAGAAAAATGTTTTAAGTTCATAAAATTTCAGTAGAACATTTAGGCAGCCCCATACATTGCCTTCATGTTAATCAGAGTTTATTGTTACCAGAAGGCAGAGCTTTAGTGCCCAACATATCCTTATTTCTCATTGCAATACTGTTTCTTTTGCCTAGCTGTATGCCTTAAGCTCACAGTCTATGACTTCTCACCTTTTCATCTGGCTAATTATAGGTAGTTAAGTAATTAGCCACATCAGTAGGATGGAAGGGAAGTAGAATGTCAAAGGGATTACTGAAAACAGGATAAAGTGGGGATTAGTTACAATTTATTTCTGCATCTACCTATCTGAAAAGGAGCACCTATTGGCAACATTCTTCCATTCCTTGGACCCAACTATTAATGCAAAGCATACTATGACCCTGCATCCTAATGTTGGATGAAATTATATATGTTTCCATTTAAGATAAGCCAACAAAATAATAGTTAAATATTTTTTTTTAAAAATGAACAATCATTTTTGGAAACTAGTAATGGAAGTATCTTCTGCCAGTCCAAGTATGTTTTACAGGAGGCAATAATAAATTCTAGCTGTTCTACCAGATCTCCATTTTTGCTTCCTTTAAAACCAACCAAACCTGAAGAATGTATAAATTATTTTCATCTAAACATATATACCCATGATGGCGAACCTATGGCACGGGTGCCAGAGGTGATACGCAGCGTCCTCTCTATGAGTATGCGAGCCATTGCCCCAGCTCAGCTCTGCCGTGCATGCACTTGTGCCTCCCGCTGGCTATCAGGTCTCTGCTGTGCATGTGGGGCGGGCACATGTGGGGGTGCACATGAATGCAGGGGGTGATACGCATGTGGGGGGCCACATGGGCAAGCATGGGTGGGGCACATGTGGGGGAGCCTGCATGCATGCGGGGGAGCGGGGTGCATGTGGGGGGCGTGTGCGCTTGTGGGGGGCACGTCCATATGCACAGAGGCGGAGCGCATGCATGGGGCCTGCAGGCACTTTGAATTTTGGGGGTTAGCACACGTGCTCCCGCATTTGCATGCATGCACGCACGCTTTGGGCACTCGGTCCGGAAAAGGTTAGGCACCACTGATACATACTGTATATAAGCAATGTTCTAGCTCCCATATTATATGCACATGTTTATGCCATCTCCTCATGAATATGGCACAACTAGCAGCTAAGAAACTTCATAACATCTTACATCCAAATCAGAAACTGTAGGTAGTTAAATTTTAAATATAGTTTATTTTAACAAACAATTTTAAAATTTCATGTAAGTTCTCCAAGAAATTGAATCAACCAAGTTGATTCAAATTTATCAACAGCTGTGGTAAACTGGAAATGGAATGATGGATCTTTCTTTGATTTTTTTCAGACCACTATAATAAATATCATTTGCCATAGAAAGAACATGAGCACTATGCTAAACTGATGTTCTTTCTGCTGGATTTACCCCTCCATTATTGCTACTTACCCCAGTTTAAAGTACCCATTTTTGGCATCTGAAACATTCATATCTTCCTAGATTTATCAGCCTTCAACAAGAAGTTGAACAAGATCCTCATCCAAAGTAAATTTCATGAATATATCCAAGCAAACTTTCTAAAGAACAAATTTATGTGCCAACTAGAATGGAATGATTGGTCAAGATTTGGAAATTTATTGACTGTTGTTGCTTGTAACTCTACTTAGGCCTTTAAAATGTTGATACATTAATTTATTTGTTTGCTTATGTGACTCCTAGCATCATACAGTATTAAAAACCAACAATATAAAACCCCAGATACCCTTATCTCCTGTGGCAGTGACAAACACAATCATACAAGCCACATGATCCAAATCAAGGTATGTTGGATATGTTTGCTGCCTGGAGTTACTTGTAAATATAATAAAGGCAGAATACAAATAAAACAAAAACAAACAAAAGGAGGAGTGAAAGAAATATGGAAAATTCATTTCACTAGAATATCTGCCTGTACTAGAATAGCAGTTGTCTGTTGAGTAACCTCAGTGTCTTGTTTCCCATTACTTACTGCAGAAACAGATGAATGCCACTCTACATTCTGGCCACCAATCACCAGTTGAAGTTCCCCAGTCTTTCTGCAGTATGAATGAGTTTTGAAGATGGGGAATGACTCATCACTTTTAACTGATAAACCACTTGTTAGCATAAAATCAAACTTCTTTTGTTTTTGCAGTTTACCATATTTTTATTAGACATTTTAGAAGAAATATATAAGCAGGGAAGGAAAAGGACAAAAGAAAGGATAAAGGACCAGAATGCAGATGAATAAACAATGCATTTACAAATGTCATAGAGAATCTTTCAGTATCATTAGTCAATTGTGAATAACAGAATGTACTCTGTTGTTTTAAAAGTTTGAAAAATGCCATTAAGCTCTAAGCAAAACATAAATATCAGGAATCTGTGAATTGCAATAAATTCTGTGCTACTAAAAGTTATCCTAATTTAGAAAATCTAAATTAAATAAAAAATTAAAATTAAAATATAAATTTTATGCAGAATGGAAACTCGCATTGTATTGAATTGTAATCTAGGAATAGTTTCCAATTTGAAATAAATTCTGTTCCATATTTACTTTTGAGATAAGTTATTCAAGACATTAAGCATGTTCCCATAACTTAGATAACCATTTTTCCATAGAAAAGATCAACTGTTAAAGTATGCTAAGCCTTTTATTGGAATATTCTTGCAGCAATTAGCATGTATAGTGCTAAATCAGTATATTTTGTAACACATAGCGGATTAGTAAAATTTAATAAAAATACCACAGTTTGAAATGGAAATATATCTTCTAAGATTTCTTTTCAATTTGAATAATTTTCCAAACTAGATGACTTTTACTACATTGCCAGAACAGGTGAAAAATGATTTAATCTGATCATTGTATTTCTTTCAGAGTCAAACATAGTTTCAAATAAACATATTTTCAATAACTTAGCCATATTTCAACTGAGAAATTGGGAGAATCCTAAGCCAAACCAAAACTAAAAACCCTAGGGGATTCCTGGAAGCTTGCAATTCAGACAAATAAGCCATCAATAAATATACAGACAAAAATCACAATTACATACCATTCAAAAGAAATAGTAAAAAGCTAAAAAGGAAATAAAAAGACAATTCCATCCAGCAACCTACAACTATGATTGAAGATTGGAGGGAGGGGTTAAAAGGGACTTGAGTTTAGAGTAATTACACTGCAGTAAGCAGCACAGATTGGCCGTCTCCCCAAATCCCTGAAGCCTTATCCTACCCTTCCCAAGTGAATGCAGTTAGCAAGAAAATTGGTTTAAAATAGCTGGCTACCAATAAACTACTGTTGAAACACTTCATGAGTGGTTCATTTGCTTTCACCTGACAACAACCAAATAAATGGGGATTAATACCAGACAAACAATTAAGCAGAAAACAATACATAAAGGAATAACCAAGGAGAAAACTACATGCCATAAACAGTAGCAAGATAAGCTGTTGTGTATAAACAGGGAACAAACAGTAGCAAGACAAACTATTGTATATAAATAGGGGGCAAACCCCATATTCAATAGCACTGATGAAGTTATCTAGTCAGGTAATGAAATGTCTGTAAGTAAACAATCAAACTGAGAGCATCAAGGACTCCACATTACTTTTCTACTAATTTTTGGAAAACTAGCTATCCACTTTAGTGACCAGGATTTGGATAATATGCCAACAATAAAATACTTTATACTGGTTTTCTTTGAATATAACATTCTGCATAAATATAATATTCCTCTTCCATTGAAATTCTCACTGTTACATTCTTATCAGAACACCAAAAATTCTTCATATATTTAATCATAATTTTTGACTGGCTCCATTTAGAATTCTTTATTGGCCAAGTGTGATTGGATACACAAGGAATTTGTCTTTTGTACATATGCTCTCAGTGTACATAAAAGAACAGATACGTTCATCAAGAATCATAAGGTACAACACTTAATGATAGTCATAGGGTACAAATAAGCAATCAGGAACAATATCAATATAAATCGTAAGGATACAAGCAACAAAGTTACAGTCATACAATCATAAGTGGAAGGAGATGGGTGGTGGGAACGATGACAAGATTAATAATAGTGAAAACTTAGTAAATAGTTTGACAGTGTTGAGGGAATTATTTGTTTAGCAGAGTGAGAGCATTTGGGAAAAACTGTTCTTGTTCTAGTTGTTCTGGTGTGTAGTGCTCTATAGTGTCGTTTTAAGGGTAGGAGTTGAAACAGTTTATGTCCAGGATGCGAGGGGTCTGTAAATATTTTCACAGCCCTCTTTTTGACTCGTGCAGTATATAGGTCCTCAATGGAAGGCAGGTTAGTAGCAATTGTTTTTTCTACAGTTTAATTAGCCTCTGAAATCTGTGTCTGTCTTGTTGGGCTGCAGAACCAAACCAGACAGTTATAAAGGTGCAGATGACAGACTCAATAATTCCTCTGTAGAACTGTATCAGCAGCTCCTTGGGCAGTTTGAGCTTCCTGAGTTGGCACAGAAAGAACATTCTTTGTTGTGCTTTTTTGATGATATTTTTGAAGTTAGGTGTCCATTTTAGGTCTTGAGATATGATAGAAACTAGAAATTTGAAGGTCTCTACTGTTGATACTGTGTTGTCTAGTATTGTAAGAGGTGGTAGTATGGGAAGGTTAGGTTTTTTCTGCATCGTACTTGGCTAACTAAATAAGGCCCAACGGATACTGATTTATGTATTATATAATTTTTAAAATTCAGTCAAATCTCTAAGTGTTTCCCTTCATTTCTTAATTTTTTAAATATTGTGCTATTTATTTGAAGATACTGAAACCAATAGAGTAAGCCTTTGGGAAGTAAGAATGTGAGAATTTACCTTATTTTCAATAATATTTTGAAATCTTAGTAAATTATCTGTTAAATTACTTTAGTTGTGCTCCCCTGTTCATAAATTAAACTTTAATATATATTAATTAGGGATTTTTTAAAAAATTAAGATGATACATGAGAATATTTACCATAATACATAATGTTCAATGCTATATTACATTTGAAACAATCTGATGAACTGAAACAATCTATAAAACTGTCCACTGAATGAAAGCAATAGAATAATAATAGAAAGGCCAGTGCTGTGCTTTATTCTAAAAGGACACCATCATGTCACACATCATTAGGTTTTTAGACTTTTTCATTCAATTGTTAACAATGAGACTTAGAGACTTTAAAATCTTTTTTCCTTGTCATATTGATTTCCTATTCCTGTATGTTAAATGGAGGTGAAATCCACATCAGCACTTTTGTACAACAATGAAAAATCTAACTTGCAAAGTGCATTGGCATACCCAGGTGCCCTTCTGGTCCTTGGTCGTGGCTCATTATCAGTGTGGGTTTGAGTCTGCTTTCTGCGTGGATGTGTGGTGGTGACATCAGGTGTGGCACTCGTGAGTGTGGGTCTGGTGTCATTCGTCGTGTTAGGGACTCGTTTGTCAATAAGGGCGGGTTATATATATATATTCTCTTTAGAATTTCTTATAATCTGTTCTTATAAAATAACTTTCAAGAGTCATTTTGAACAGTTTGCAAAGAGCTATTACATCTTCTGGTCTCTCTGGAGTATTGCATTTATTTTGCCTTTTCTTATTTTATAACTGATCTCTTATCTATTCTCAATTATTTCTAATCTGCAAAAAAATATCCTATGTGTTAAATACTATAGGAATTGGTGTAATGTGGACTATAGATCTATAGTTAAGTCTTTTTAATGTGACTGTATACCACACCTGCAATGGAAAGTAGTTTCAGAACCTACAGTAGAAGATTCCAGACCAGGGAGCAAAAGAAATGTGTCAATGGGACCACCTCAAGGTAGTATTGAGGAGGAAGGAAACATGACCAGTTTAGGAACTATTAAACATTCAGCATCAACCATATCATATGCAGATCCATACATCACCAAGGGACAAACTTTTTGCTTCAAAGACTTCAAACATGGAAAAGAAATAGAGTTACCTCATGAAGTGCAGCCTATAGTAAACCATATTAAAGTGCATTTAAAGTGCAGCCTATAGTAAATCATATTAAATCTAAAAGAGACAGATCAAGGGAACTTCCCTATAAAGACTTATTCAAATTTAGGATGGATACTATTCCATTCATGAACAGTTATACTGTAATAATGGATGGGAATTCAGAAATGGCTATAGAAACATTGAAGTCACAATCAATGTCCAGCTACTATCCAAGTTATTACAAATATATATAAATACATGATACAATGTCCTACCTGTCAATGAATACTTCAGTTTCAACCACAAAATTACATGAATACACAATAGATACAAACTTATGGTAAACTGCTCCAAACTTGATTGCAGAAAACAGTAACAGAGTTGTCAATGCCTGGAATGCACTACCTGACTCTGTGGTTTCTTCCCCAAACCCCCCGAAACTTTAACCTTAGACTGTCTACTGTCGACCTCACCCTATTCCTAAGAGGTCTTTAAGGGGCGTGCCTACGGTCCCTATCCTAATGTTCCCTTTTATTTGTATCTGTTTCATGTATTCATAATCATGTGTATGTTAACTAATATCTGTTATCTAATACATGCTTGACAAAATAAATAAATAAAAAATAAATAAATGAGCAACTCACATCAGTCCTATACCATGACCAGGCAAATGATTTGTTATAATTAGGCGGGAGAAGAAAGCCATTCAGGAGTAAACATCTTAGACTTTGTACAGCAACTACAGAATATTCTGAGAGAATTAGTCCTTTTCCTATTCAAATCCGAGAATTATCCAAACTGAACATAAGGAGTGGTATAATTTGCATGTGCGCGAAATAAACCGGTTGTTACACTGGTTGAAACCCACTGGGGGGAATGGAGATTTTACAGTATCCTTTCCCTGGAGTGGGGTGGGAATGGAGATTTTACGGTATCCTTCCCCTGCTACACCCACCAAGCCACGCCAGCCAAGCCATGCCCACAGAACCAGTAGTAAAACAATTTGAATCCCACCACTGCATATTTACATATATGACCTGAGGAAAACATACTAGCCCATGCTTTTTACAAAACAAGATGAAAATAAACCAGCATTTGTTATGCACCATGCATTGTTTGAATCTAACATAATCCTGTTTGATCTTCAGAATGTTATTACAACTTTCCCAATGAGCTGATGAGGGATTTGAATGGCTTTGCCATGGCAAATTTATATGACAACATCTTTTCAACTATTTGAGAACAGTACTTTGCACATCTGGAAATGATGATCTGACACATAAGGAGAGTGCATT